GCCCGAGCTGGAGCGACCCACGACCTGTGCCGAATATCCTTGGAGATCCTCGGATGTGCCTGGACGTACTTCTCGGGGAGACGCCAGACTCGGGTACGGGGGACTCGGGTTGGCCTGTCGGGGCCATCATGGAAACGACGAGGCCCAATCTGAAATTTGACGCGAGCTCCCGCCGCAGACAGCCCACGACACCCGGAGACGGTCCGGATCCAGGACGCACGCGTCAAAAAACATCGGTGAACCCGAGCCCCGGCTTATGCGAGTCTTACGTTCCCCCGAACTTTGAGATTCGTTTGCTCGTACCTTGCTTGATCTGGCCTGGTCCCCACACGTCGATTCGCGAAGAGTTGCCCAGCCCTTTGGGCCCTGGGCCCCTCGGGTCGCGCTAAAAGGGGGGTTTAGCCTATCAGCTCACGTACAGTGGAGGCCCGACCACAAGAAACCTTCCACAAAAAACCCAACCTTGAGACCCCAGGACGTCCACTGATTTCTGGTGTGGGAACGTCACGCTTCCCACAGTAAAACCGTCGAAACCCAAGAAACCCAGGGCACCCTGGAGGCAAGCAGGGTGATTTTCTTGGCATGGGCCACCAATGTATAACTGCTTCTTGGAAGTTCCAGGACATCCAGATCACGGCGCAGCACTTTTCTCACGCTGGGCGTCTTCGCCGCGCTTCGGGCCCCGGGCCATCACAGAGCGATATGGCTTGGAAGTCTGCCCGGTCACCGTCGGGGGTGGGGCACCGAGCTCCCACTTCAGCGATGCATCGGCGATTGCGACCCGATGCACCCCCCCCCTGAGCCTGGACCCCCCTAACGCTGCCCTTGAGGCTGGTAAAAGGAAACAATAAACAACCTGGAGACTGTGCGGGACCTGCTTTGGAACAGGAACATACGATGGAAGGATCTACCCTTTCTCCGACCTTGGACTGCGCCAAACGCACTGGCCGCGTTGTTTATAGACGCATACACCCAAATGTGTCTATCTTCGTAACGCCACCAAATGTGTTCATAGACGCGTGTTGCGGAAAGTGAGAACGATGTTTTGCATAGTCTCCAGATACTGCTCGTCAAAAAGCAGGTAGACTTGGTCCTCAAAGAAGCAGTGAACCTCGGTGTCTCTCCGCGGTCTCCCAGAGTGCCCCAGCATTGCCCTTTGAGCTGCCCCTAGATGCCTCCAGATGCCCCTCCACGTGGTTCCAGACACCGGTACGCTGCAGCACAAGTAAGGACTTTCGACATGACTTCCCCGGGGGCTCGGGGGAGCTTTCCGGAGCCCCCCCCCAAAAAATGTTCCCGGGGGCGGAAAGGGTGTTCGGGACCCCCTCCTTCCCCGTCTGCCAGCAGCAGGAGGAGGTGGAGGAGGAGGTGGAGGAGGAGGAGGAGGAGGAGTGGGCGGGGGAGGAGGAGAGGGAGGAGGGAGAGGAGGCGGAAGAGGAGGAGAGGAGGAAGAGGAGGAGGAGGAAGAGGAGGAGGAGGAGGAAGAGGAGGACGAAGATGAGGTGAACATCCCCCCTGCCAGCAGCGGCAGAACGCGCTCGGTCGGGCATCTTCATCTAGGGTATGGAGGAGGAGGCATGGCCTGGAGGAGGGGGAGGGAGGGAGGGAACGTAGGGATCGAGAGGTGCTGCGATGGAGGGGAGGGAGACAAGGGAGGTGCAGGGGGGGGGAGGGTCAAGGAGGGGGAGAGAGGGAGGGAACCTGGGGATCGACAGGTGTTGCGATGGATGGGAGGGAGGCTAGGGGGGGGCGCGAGGCCAGGGAGGGTGCGAGGGAGGGGGGGGCGGGAGGGAAGGGCGGAAAGGGAGGGGAAGGGGGGAAGAGGCCGGCGTAGTTGAAGGTTGAAGGAAGTGCCTAACCTGAGCCCTGGAATGCAGCGCGTGAGGTGGGCCGGAGGGCGGGGCCCGACCCAGGGTCAGCAATCGAGGATCGGGTATCTCGATCCTCGCCCCTCGGTTCTCGACCGAGGGTCGGAGGGCGGGGCTCGATCGAAGGGTCGGAGAGAGGGAGGAGGAGGAGGAGGAGGAGGAGGAGGAGGAGGAGGAGGAGGAGGAGGAGGAGGAGGAGGAGGAGGAGGAGGGAGGAGGAGGAGGAGCAGGAGAAGAGGACGAGCAGGAGGAGCGAGAGAGAGGAGGAGGAGAGGAGGAGGAGGAGGAGGAGAGGAGGAGAAGAGGGAGGGGGAGGAAGAGGGAGGAGGAGAAGGAGGAGGAGGAGGAGGAGGAGGAGGAGGAGGAGAAGGAGGATAGGAAGGAGGGGGAGCAAGAGGAGGAGAAGGAGAAACAGGAGGAGGAGGAAGAGGAGGAAGGAGGAGGAGGAGGGAGGAGGGGGAAGGAGGAGGAGGAAGAGGAGGAGGAGGAGGAGGAGGAGGAGGAGGAGGAGGAGGAGGAGGAGGAGGACAGGAAGGATGGGGAGGACGAGGAGGAGGCGGATCGAGGATCGGATATGTCGATCCCGGACCCTCGGCTCTCGGCCGAGGGCTGGGGAGGGGCGGGGCGCCCTCGGGCGGCGGGCGGCGTCCTGCAGCTGCCGCGGCGCCCGCGCTGTGGCCGCCGAGGCCTGTGGGCAGGGTCCTCTCGCGGGCTCCCGCGGGCTCCTCCTCCTCCTCCTCCTCCACCTCCTGCTCTTTCCTTTTCCTCCTCCTCCTCCTCCTGTTCTTCCTGCTCCTCCTGCTCCTCCTGCTCCTCCTCTCCTCCTCCTCCTCCGCCTCCTGCTCCTCCTCCTCCTCCACCTCCTCCTCCTCCTCGTCCTCCTCCTTTTTCCTCTTCTTCCTCTTCTTCCTCATATCAGAGTGAGGGGGCCGAACGGTCATTCACTGTCCCTGGGTGCGTGGCTGAAGTGGGATTCCGCGGTGCAGATTATCGTTGTTGTTGTTTGTTGTTGTTTGTTGTTGTTTGTTGTTGTTGTTGTTGTTGTTGGTGTTGTTTGTTATCGTCGTCCCACCCGCAACCCGCCCCGCGACCCACCCGCGACCCATCCCGCGACCCACCCCGCGACCCACCCGCGACCAACCCGCGACCCACCCGCGACCCACCCCGCGACCCACCCGCGGCCCACCCCGCGACCCACCCGCGACCCAACCGCGACCCACCCGTGACCCACCCGCGACCCACCCGCGACCCACCCCGCGACCCACCCGCGACCCACCTTCTGACCCAAACCACGTTCAAGGTACAAACCACCATTTTCGGCGCCTGCGGCGGGCTCTTTTTTGGGGGGGGCATTCCTTGCAGGTGGAGAGCCCGCGACCCACACCGCGACCAACTCGCGACCCAAACCGCGTTCAGGTTACAAACCACATTTTTCGGCGCCTGCGGCTGGCATTTTTTGCATTCGTTTCAGGTGGAGAGCCCGCGGCCCACCCGCGACCTCGTTCAGGGTACAAACCCATTTGTTCGGCGCCTGCGGCGGGCATCTTTTACATTCGTTTCCGGTGACAAACCCGCGACACACCCGCGACCCATTCCACGTTCAGTGTACAAACCACATTGTTCGGCGCCTGCGGCGGGCTGTTTTTGCATTCCTTCCAGGTGGAGGTGGAGAGCCCGCGACACACCCGCGACCAAAACCACGCTCACTGAACAAACCAATGCCGCACAAGCGCGGCGGCGGATTTTTGCATGCCGCCTGAGCCCGCAACGACCTCTTCAAGCCCCGCGCATCCACACCAGCCCGTCCAGCAACTTTGCCCTGGCGAGTTGCCTTGATCAGAGAAGTCGGGGAGCATAACATGGAAAAAGGGATTGCGTTGCCGTTACCTTGGGAAAGGAGGGGGAGGCAGGAGGAGTAAACAGGGGGCGAGGAGGACGCGAAAAAAGAGAGGATGCAAGGATAATGTGGAGGAGGAGGAGGAAGAGGAGGAGGAGGAGGAGGAGGACGACGACGACGAGCAGGAGGACGAGGAGGGGGAGGAGGGGAAGGAGGGGAGGGGGAGGACGAGGAGGGGGAGGAGGGGGAGGAGGGGGAGGAGGATGATGATGGACGACAATGGGAGGACGATGGTGGAGGCCGATGAAGGGGTGGACGACAATGGGAGGACGATGATGGAAGGACGAGGGGGGGAGAGGGAGGACGAGGAATCAGAGGAGGAGGACGAGGTGGAGGAAAGATGACGATGACGATGACGAGGACGAGGAAGAGGAGGAGGAGGAGGAGGAGAGCGCCATCGACAGGGAAGGTGGGGGCCACGAGGTCCGCCGGCTCGACGACGCCCGCGTCGCCCGCGCCCGCCCCCTCACTCTTATACACACTTGCGGGGTGCTATGTTAATATTATTCCTCCTCCTCCTCCTCCTCCTTCTACTCCTCTTCCCCCTCCTGGACAAAGCCCTCCCTATCCGATCCCCCTTGGGAGATGTGGGCGGCAGGACTCGCGGGATTGCGCAGCTGCCTCCGCGGCGGTGGCCTCGAGAAGCGAACCTTGTCGCCCCCGCGGTCGTCTCGGGCAGGACTGCGATCGGCCGAGGCCGCATCTGTCGCCGGCGTAAGTGTGGCTCGCCCCGCGGGGCTCCGATCTCGCGATGCGACCCCGCGCCCCCCGAGCTTCAACGACACGCCGCGGCCCCCATCCAGGGCCTTCCGACCCTGACCGCGAGGGCGCACCGATCCTTGCCAACTCTCCCGCGGGTGTTTGTCAAGAGCCACTGCGACGGCTCTGGGCCGGACCTTCGAGCTCTAGGTCATGTCCCTCTTCTCGTCGCGAAGGAGCGCTTCGCGCTCGTGGTCGTTGGCGATGCTGGCCCTCCCGTCGCCAACCACTGAGGCATGCCGAGCCACCTACCACGCGCCGCCGTCGGCGTGGAGGAGCTCGACTGACGTGCGCCGCTGGATCAGCACGTCCGTGGCAGTGCCCGGGTCGGCTTAGAGGATGTCGTCGACTGCCGTCGCCAGCGCCCGCATCTCGAGCTCGTTCCTCGCGTGCAACTTCCCCTGGCAGCTGGGCAAGTACACGCTGGTGAAGCAATTCACCATGCGCGGCTCGGTGCTCTCGGCGACCGCGTGGCCCTCGCTGACGCGATAGCTCCTCAGCTTGGTCAGCGCGCGCTCCGTGAGCTCGCCCGGCTTTCCTCTCCGCAAGGCGTTTGGCCATGGCGCGCGGAGAGTCGGGCGTTTGAAAAATGCCGCGGCGAGTCCGAGCTTGACGAGCCCTCCTCAGACCCCTCACGGCGCCTCCTGCAGCGGCCCTTCGGCGGAGGGGAATCGCGGTCTCCGCGATCGCCCCCGCCGCGGCCACCCGAGTCTCCCCGCTGAGAGCTGCCGCTCTAATCGGAGGCCCCCCCCAGGATCTTCTCGCTCGGGCTAGCGCGCACCTCGGCTGGCGCGCTCGCCGAGCGGCGCGACCCCTTCTCCCGGCGAGGTGACCGGCTGCGCTTCGCGGACATCTGCTCGTCCAAATCGTTTCGGCCGCCTCTCCCCTTCGGGGGGTTGTTGGAGCGAGTGCCCGCGGGGGCCGAGCCGCGACTGCCGCCCCCTCTGGGCGCTGACGCATGCCTGGCCGCTCGCTCCCGTAGCTTGGCCAACCGGTCGATCAGGCCACGCTCGCGCGCGTGAGCGGTGTCACCCCCTCCTGGGCCCTCTCGGCGGGCGTCCGACTTGGTGCCGTCCGCTGCCGCCACCCGGGGCGCGCCGCGCGTCTATGATGGCCTGGTCCTCCGCGCCGCGAGTGAGCTCCTCGCCGGGGCAGCCGCGGAAGGGCAGCTGGGCGCAGCGCCGCCTTCCCACGTGCAGGATGGCGGCATCCACCAGGTTCCCGCCCTCGCGGCAGTCTTGTGCACGCATCGCCTCCGAACAGAAGTGCAGCGCGGGCGTCCTCGCGGGGTCGTCGAACGCCACCGCGAGCCGACGCCGCTGCTCGGGCTTCGCCGCGCCCATGTAGGCGCACTCCCACAAAGTCACCGACTCGCCCGTGTGGGGATCTGGCGTGACCCCATCCCCCTGCTCGGCCTGGCCCAACACCTTGAAGATCGCGTTGCCGTCCATCTCGACCTCGATGATCGGCAACTGCCCTGACCGAGGCCCGGACTTCGCGACCGATGGGCAGTTCTCGCCGACGTTCCACTTGCCCGTTGGGCGAACGATGCCGTGGCGCGAGTCTGCCTCGCAGTCCTCGTCGGCGGCGGTCCCTCCACTCCCGCGGCCCGCGGAGAGTGAGCGGCGCAGCGCAGAGTGTCGCAGGCCAGAGGCCGACCCACGCCTTGAGCCGCCGCCACGGCCCCCTCTGCGCGAGCGGCCGCCCCCGCGCGCGGAGCCTTCGTCCCCGCGCCGTCAGGCTCGGCGGGCTTCGGGCCACGGGGGCGGCCTCTGCCTCCTCCGCCCCCGCCGCCCCCTCCCCTCTTGTGTTTTGTGCCACGCGCGGCACGGGGCCCGAGGGAAGCGGGCCGCCGGGCGACGGCGGCCGCCTTCGCCGCGGCCCGCTTGGGCGCTCCTCCTTCTGGGCGGCATCGCCCTGGCAGGCGGGAGTGCCGCTCCCCCTCCGCTGGGCGGGTGCCTCGCTCTCTTGGAGCGGGGGCCCTGGCCCTTCCTCAGGGCCGCGAGCCCCGCCCCCGCGGGCTCCTCCCCGCCAGAGGGCCCTCGCCCGCGGGCGCGCACACCTTGTTCGAACTCGAGCAACTGCAGCCGCGAGGGTCGAGGATGGCGGCCGCACGAACACTCACAGGTGATGGGCTGGTGCGGAGACGGGGGCCTCAGTGAGGCCACGGCTGCACCCTGCTATTCGGGTTGAGGGCTCCGTGCCCTCGATGACGTGAGGGCGGCCGGCCCCCACGGAGCAGCTCCGCATGGGCCCGCGGGGGTCGGGGGCGCCCGGGGCAGCCCCAGGCCCGGCAGCCGACCGGGCCTCCCCGGGGGAGGGGCCCGCCCGCAGAGCCGCCACCCCTTCCCCTCGAAGGGTTCGTGCCCCCTTGGCAGCAGCGTCTTGTCTGGACAGGTCGCCGTGCATCTCGTGCCTGGCCATGTCCACCGAGCGGGTGGCGGGCCGTGGTCTGGTCGTGGCGGCGAGGGTGGGGCCCGACAGCCAGGGAGGCACAAAGAGGATAGCCTCGGTCACGTTCCTGAGCAACTCAACCTGACTGGTTATTTGAGGGCTGCACTGCCTTGCCAAGGCAGCACCGTCCTCTTTCAATGATATGAGACAGTGCTGTCTTGTCGTGGCAGAACTGTGGTTATCGACCCATCTCTTCAATGAAGAAAGGGGTCGATAATAACATGTCTGTGCCTGATCCGAACAACTCTTTCCACAGCGAGTGGCAGCGGGGATCCGTAAAACTTGTCAGGAACATGCAGGGCGTGGTGGTCCTTCTGCTTAGGCGCCCTGGTGGGACGTCCGGGCCACGCTTTACATTTTTCTCAGCACGCGCCAGGATCTGCAGATGCTTGAGGAACCTGCCTAACTCTCACTCCCCCTCTTCCTCATACTCATCATCTTCCCCCATCCTCCTCCTCCATACTCCACCATCCTCCTCATCCTCCATCCTCCTCCTCCTCCTCCTCCTCCATCCACCGTCCTCCTCCTCCTCCTCCATCCACCGTCCTCCTCCTCCTCCTCCCCCATCCTCCTCCTCTCCTCCTCCTCCTCCTCCTCCCTCCCCCATCCTCCTCCTCCTCCTCCTCCTCCTCCTCCTCCTCCTCCTCCTCCTCCTCCTCCCCCTCTCCTCCTCCTCCTCCTCTCCTCCTCCTCCTCCTCCTCCTCCTCCTCCTCCTCCTCCCCCTTCCTCCTCCTCTCCTCCTCCTCCTCCTCCTCCTCCTCCTCATACTCGCTATCCACCCCCCGTCCTACTCCTGCGCCACCTCCTCGAGCCGTCGAGTGCCGTCGGCGGCCCGCGGGCCCGCCCCGCAGGAACGCCTTCTGGCCAGCATCTCGAGGGGGATCTTGGCTACCTGCCAGACCACCCCAACCCAACCCGAAGACCCGAATTTCGGGTTGGGGGGGGGGGTGTGGGTTCCATACGTGTTTTTTTCAATGTTCCCCCACCCCACCCCCACTGGAAATGGAGGGCAAATCTGAGCCTTCGGGTTGGGTTGGGGTGGCTTGGTGGGTGGTGAGATCTGGTGGTTGCGACGCGGGCGCAGTGCAGACGCCCAATCTAGCATGGCCGCAGCGGGCAACGAACCTGAAATCCTTGCCAACGACGGCGGCAATCGGCGGTGGACAAACCTCCTTCAATAAACCTCCCCTTACTGAAAACGGCCTGGGACCGAAACCGACGGACCTGGACCCGCAAACATGACGGCCGCGACGCCCTCTCGCGAGCCGAGAACGGCCAATTCACTAATCGACGTGTCAGGGTAGGAGGTCTATCAAGCTCCGAGGTAACCGCCACGGTGCCCGCGACGACGACCACGACGGCGAAGGCAATGCGCGGCGACCGCGACGAAAACTTGACACGAAGACGACCACGACCACGACGGCGCAAGACCCCCGAGTTCGTGATCGTTGCAGGCACGGAACACCAGAAATTTCGACCTGACTCTCCAAGGCGGGGCGAATGGCGATGTCAACGGCGATGCTGGGAACCAACATGCAGAACATCACGAGCCACAATTTCCCATAGTTCCCATCTGCAGATGGATCGAGCGAAGACGACAACGCAAGTTGCAGGAAAGCGCGAGCCACGCGTTCCCACACTACATAAACCTACATTGCCGTTGCCTACATCGCCGTTAGCCCGTCAGAGTCTACGGTAGAGATTGAACAAGCATCACGGCGCTGGAGTCACAGTAGGGGCTCTACCACAAGAAGCCTTCACAAGAAGCTCAACCCTGAGACACCAGGACGTTCATGCCAATCCTGAGACCCCAAGACGTCCATGTTTTTTTGTGGGAGCGGCATGCTTTCCGTGGCAAAACCAGCGGCAGACCCGACGGCGACCACGACGACAGCAAGCAGCGGCGGCCGATGGCGAGGGCGGAGACCCCAGACATCCGACGTCTTGTTATTCTTAGAAGATGGAAGAACACAACTGCATAAACATAAACTTTTGGCTCTCCGCGCGGACTTCTTGGATCTGCGCTATGACGCTTAACTCTTCTTCGACTTGCGTCTTTCCACGCGGCGTCCCGACGAGGTCTGGACCTTTTGCCTGGGCCCAACTCTTCATCATGAGCCGTCGTGCTGCCGGTCCTGGGGCCCAGCGAGGGCCCCAAAACAGGAGAGCCCAGAATCGAATCTATAAGTCGGGTCGGCGATTGACATGAATCGGATCGGCGGAACTCGGCAGCCGAGTCGGGATAGCCTCCAGTAAGGAATCGGGGTCCACATCGGAATCCGAATCAGAATCGGAAGCCACCGGAACCGAATCGAGCCGAATCGGAGGAATCGAAACGAGCCCTGCCAAGAGGCCGACATCTGCGAAAAACCTGCGTCTCGCTTTTCTCGAGGAGCTGCAGGGCTGCGATTCAGTCGGGCAGGTCCTCCTACGGGCGGATTTTGGACGAACGAATAAAACACATTCAAACCAAAATGTCCCGAAATGGTCAAAGAATCATAGAAACATCGTCCCCAGATTATATTCGTTGCCTGCTTTCGAATGTTCCTCCTGCAGGACCGGCCCGACCTCACGTTTGGGCAGGGACCGACCGTCCTGGCATTCCTACAGCCCTTCCACGAAATTTTCTTAGAACCCGAAAATGTTCTAAGAACAGAAACAATGTTCTTGGAACAGAAGCCCGAGGTGCCAAAACAAGACAGATTCCGCCAGACATGTTCTAAGAACATCTCCTGGGAACCACAACAGCTTCTTAGAACATTCTATGGTGGGGCTATATTTGGACGCCCGAAATGGGCACGGAAAGAATGGGTGCAATGCCCAACAACACATGTTGTTCCAAACCAACAGCGGCCGCTGTTGGGCAAGCGGCCTCCTGTCCCCAATGGACACAGGCCGCGGCGACGCGGACAGCGAGTCCTGTGCAAAATGAACAGGAACTGCTGTTGGGCATCGTACCCATTCTTTCCGTACCCATTCCGCTCGTGCCGACTATAGGCGAGCCGGGACGCTTCGCCACTGCTTGACGGGCGGGCCGCGCCCCGCGCGCCGGCCCCCCCCCGCGGGCGGCGCCCTCCTCGCGGCGGCGGGCAGGAAGGCCGGCGGGGGGCCACCGAGCGAGCCGGTGGCCGCGGCGGCGAGGGCCGCGGCGGCCGCCTCGGCGGGCAGGCGGCGGCGGGCTGCGGGGCACAGCTCGGGCACGTCCTCCTACTCGTGAAGGGGCCCTGGGACGCACAAATAAATACACACCAATACCATGATTCCCCATATGCTCCCATATTATCTTGGTGTTTGGCTTCCCCCCAACTTCCCATATCCTTCCCATATTCTCTGGGGGATCGACGATTCATTGTGTCTGTGCTTTTTTCCCCCTCCTGATACTGGCGGGCTTTGGAGGAAGAGTATCGGGCCAGGCGCAGCCTTCCTGGACCCCGACGGCCTTGACAAAGACCAAGGACGTCATACATCTGGCCCAGGGCGCCCAGCTCACTGCAGGGAGAAGAGGTGACCCTTTCGACTCTGTCAGGGGGACGTAAGACCTGGGTACAGGGGACTCGGAAATCCCCGACGAGGTCGTCAACAAAAATGACGAGGCCGAGCCTGCATTTTGACGAGGCCTCCCGCTGCAGACATCCCACGAAACTCCTCCTCGTCAAAATCCGAGGCGCGGTCGTCAGAAAACGATGGCGAACCCGAGCCCTGGCAAAACCGGGTCCTGCGCTCCCCCGACTCTGGTGGCGCAGCGCTGGGATGAGTCCCCCGGGACCCTCTACGCTCTGCGCGAGCACCTGCTCCCGGGAGGTCCGCGCGGAAGTCCTGGATCGGCTCGGGCCGGGCGACCGGGGGGCATAGCAAAGGGGGGGGGGGGAGAATCAGCTCGCGTACACCCTGCGAAATGCTTAAGAAATCATGGGCTAAGAAATTCATAGTCTCAGAACTTCAATAAAAGCCCAAAATTTCTATTCAAATCTTGGGATTTACATTGAAACGTTAAGAATAATCGAGACTCTGGCCGAAAACTTGGGTTTTCTTAAGCATCGCCTAAGGTGTATAGCTGATTCTCCTGGCGCCTCCCGGCGCCAGGAGGCGCCCATGTATCGAGGACTGGGCCCGGCGGCGGGGCCGAAACCAGCTGCATGCAGCAAATTTCGTACCCCCCCCCCCTTTCCCTATCCCCCCCTTTCGTCCGGCCCGATCCTCCTCTAGGCGGGCTTTGGAAGAAAAAATATATATGAAAAGTTAACATGTATTCACACATAGGTCAAAATAGTCCAAGAATCGTCCCCGGACCATATATTGTGGGCTATTCTTCAGTGTTCCTCCTCTTCCTCCTCATGTAGGGGGACATGCCCCACTTCACTCCTGGCCGAACTCGCCGGCGGCAAACGCAGCTGGTGCGTCGGCCCGGGCCTCCAAGCGCGGCCGGGCTCTTCCCATAGATTCAGAAGGCCCCCCAAGGGGGCCCTCCACAGTGCCTCACGGGAGGCCGCGACAGACACACAGACACACACACACACACACACACGCACACACACACACACGCACGCACGCACGCACGCACGCACGCACGCACGCACGCACGCACGCACGCACGCACGCACGCACGTACACACACACGTACACACATACACACACATCAAAGTCGGCCCGAGCGAGTTCCAGGAGGGCTCCCCAAGCAGACGAGAGGCGTGACACGTGGCGGCCTTCCTCGTCTTCCTCTTGCTCCTGCTCCTCCTGCACTGCCGCACCGCAGGCACGGTGGCGGGACCTGCCGCAGGCAACTGGATCCGCCGCCCCATGTCGATTCATCGCAAGGGTGCCTGGCGTGCCAGACTATTACGGTTTTGGTTTTGGTTTTTTCCGAAAGAACTCTCCCAATGGGTTTCGTCCCGTCCCGCCTGGGTACCGGGAGGATTGCCAAGGACCTCAATTCCCCAATTTCCTGCCCAAGACGGCTCCAAGATGGCCTCCAAGGTTCCTCCAAGACGGCCAGGATGGCCTCCAAGACGGCTAAGATGGCTTTCAGATGCCTCCAAGACGGCCCAAGAGAGTCCAAGATGGTCCAAGAAGGCCCAAGAGGCCCCCCAGAGGCCTCCCAGACGGCCCAAGAGGCCTCCAAGAGGTCCTCCAGGAGGGCCCGAAGAGGCCAAAGTCATTGCTTGTCCTTAGGTTGTTGAAGGATTTTTGAATTTGCTTCTTCTGGGCCAAGTGGCCTCCAAGATGGCCCCAAGAGGGCCCCAAGACGGCCCAAGAGGCCTCCAACACGCCCAAGATGGCCTCCAAGACGCCCAAGATGGCCTCCAAGACGGCCCGAAGCAACCCAAGAGGGTCCCCAGTTGGCCCAGAAAGGCCCCCAAGACGGCTCCCGACGGCGACAGACGTGCCAGGAACCCACCAAGGTGGCCGAAGTTGGCTCGAAGCTGGCCCAAGACGGCCCAAGAGGCCCCCAAGAGGGCCTCCAGGAAGGCCAGAAAAGGCAAAACAAACTTAATTTTCCTAAGGTGTTCGACAGATGATGACATTTCCTTCTTTTCGGCCTGCCGACGGCCCGAGACGGCCCAAGAGCCCCCAAAGATCGCCGAAAGATCGCCCAAGAGGCCTCCAAGACGGCCAAGATGACCTTCAAGATGCCCACGTATTCCCCGAAGGCTTTCCAACCCGATTCGGGGAACACATGGTCCGATGGCTTGGCAGGTCTGGCCTCAACGTTCGGCCACATCGGCGCTTCCAAAAAGGCAGGGGGCGGCAGTTATTCGCCGTAGGCGTCTTCGATACGTATTCGTAAGCTCAGGCTTTGGCAAGCCTCGGGGGGGTGGAGCTCCCTATGGGGCCACGAAGCGTTCTACTGAGTGAGTGAAAATGCCAAATTGGGTTTCCGCGACGCCTGCGGGCGGTCCCACTTGGGGCCTTCGGTGGAGCCCCCTATGGGGCCACGAAACGCTGCACTGCGCGGGTGAAAATGCCACATTACATTTCCTGGACGCATGCGGACGGTGGCATTGGGGCCTTCGGTGGGGCTCCCTATGGGGCCACGAAGCGCTGTACTGGGTGTGCGGGACGCATGCGGACGGTAGCGCTGGGACCTTTGGTGGGGCTCTCTATGAGGCAACGAAACTCTGTACTGGGCGTGCTGGACGCATGCGGACGGTAGCACTGGGACCTTCGGTGGGGCTCCCGATGGGGCCACGAAACGCTGTACTGGGTGGGTGACACGCAGGGGGGAGGGGGAGGAGGGCCACGAAACGATGTACTGGGTGTGCGGGACGCATGCGGACGGTAGCGCTGGGCCCTTCGGTGGGGCTCCCTATGGGGCCACGGAACGCTGTACTGGGCGTGCGGGACGCATGCGGACGGTAGCACTGGGGCCTTCGGTGCGGCTCCCTATGGGGCCACGAAACGCTGTACTGGGAGTGCGGGACGCCTGCGGACGGCAGCACTGGGCCCTTCGGTGGGGCTCCCTATAGGGCCACGAAACGCTGTACTGGGTGGGTGAAACGCAGGGAGGAGGGGGAGTAGGGCAACGAAACGCTGTACTGGGTGTGCGGGACGCATGCGGACGGTATCACTGGGACCGTAGGTGGGGCTCCCTAGTGGGGCCACGAAACGTTGTACTGGGTGGATGAAACGCAAGGAGAAAGGGGAGGAGGGAGGAGGAGGGAGGAGTGGAAGGAGGGGGAGGAGGAGAGGAGGAGAACGCGGGCCGACGTCTCTTCAAAACGAGGACCCAACACCACAGGATGGTTGGGAAAAAACTACTCGCCAGCCCTGCTGACGGAAAATAACTCAGGAATTTCCGTGGACCCCGCACCGAAACAACCAAGATATATCGGATCTCAGGGGAAGGAGACAGCTGGTGTCGCGGCAGCTGGCCAGTGGCAGTCACGGCTGGTGCGCCGCGGGATGCAGTGGAGGCCAATCCACAGGAAACCTTCAACCAGAAGCCCAACCCTGACACCCCAGGACGTCCATCGATTCTTGGTACGGGCACGTCGCGCCTTCCACAGCAACGCCAGTGAAACCCACGAAGCCCACGGCACCCTGGAGGCGAGCAGGGTGTTTCTGGCATGGGCCCACACTGTGTGAGGCAACTCCTGGGAGGTTTCTTCGCGAGAGCGACTCCATCCAGGCCCTCGGGGCCACTCGGCCCGTCCGAGGCGCCACTGCGTCGCACTGCTGCAGGCAAGCGGGAGAGTCAGCCAGCCCGAGCCGGCGTGACGGTGCGCGCGGCGATGCCGCACTGGGCCACATGCCAGGTCCCACCGGCGCCGATGCCGGAGCTCGCTCCCTCCCGCTCGGGGAGCGGGTCCCCCTTCCCTCTGCCCCCGCCCCCGCTCCCCACGGCTCGGGGGCTTCTGCGCCAGGACCGGCTCTTCCTTCTGCTGGCGGCGCCCACATGGGTGGCGGCGCGAGCGGGGTGGGCTTCTGAGAAAGAGGCGGGGGCCCTCTTCGAGAGCAGGGGCCCTCCTGAAGGGCCTGGTGTCCTCCAGGGAGCCTCCCTTGAAGCCAGGAGGTTCTCTATGAGCATCGTTTAACCGATCCCTATCCCCACTGGCGTGGCCTGGGCCCCACTGGCCGATCTACCCCCGAGATGGGGGATATGATTGGGCGGTTCCCTTCAGGCTTCGAGGGGCACATCCCCAACAGTGGTGGTGGGATGGTGGGGATCGGGATGGGGATGGATATGGGGATAGGGATCGGTGAAACGATCCTGACTCTAGGAGGCGGAAGAGGAGCAGGCGGAGGAGGAGAAGGAGGTGGAGGAGGGTGCCCCCCCGACCCACCCCTGCCTTCTCTTGGAAGCCCCGCTGCCTCCTCTTGGAAGGCGGCCCCCCCTCGCGCCAGCTACGCGCGCGGGCGCCACCAGCCCCCTGGGCCGTGCCTCGGCGGAACCCAGGCGCCCAGGGAAGAGGGAGGAGGAGGAGGAGGAGGAGGAAGGAGGAGGAAGGAGGGAGAAGGGAGGAGGAGCAGGAGCAGGAGCAGAAGGACGAGGAGGAGGAGGAGGAGGAGGAGGAGGTTCAGGCCCGGACTGATTAACTTTCACAGCGCTGTCCCAAGCCCCGCCCGCATCCATCGGGGAAGGACAGCTGCATAAAACAGACCAGGGGCTCGACCGCAAGGAGGTGTGGGAACGACACGCTTTCCACAGCAAACTAATCGAAACCCAAGAAGCCCAGGGCACCCTGGAGGCAAGCAGGGTGTTTCTTGGCATGGGCCCCCACCGTAAGCATAAATTCTCGAAAGTACGCGAGGATTTCTGTGACTTGATGAGCATGGCCGACAGTTGTCGAAAACCTCCCATCGTGAATTTTCCACGGCACTTGCATGTTCGGTGGCAACTCGTGGGAGCCTCCAGGGCCAATATTGCTGGCTCTTGCGAATCGAAGCTGACTGACATGCATCGACGCTCACCGACGCAAATCGACGCTACACGGGCGCCTTGCCATCGAATATCACGCGCTAGCGCACACCAGTGCACCCCAGAAGACGAAACTGCGAAGACACTTGAGCCTCACATGACCTGCAGGGAACCGAACTCTATACACCGACCGGTTTTCTGGCCCTGCACTGAAACTTGCAAACAGGAAAGCGGATCCTGGTATGTACGAGATCCTGGTGTATACATTGCTCGCTGTTTCAAAAAGAAAACGGGGGAACCATATATACACCACACCACCCCGACGTCGTCCCCGACCCTCAAGAAGTCGTGGGATTGGAAAACAGCCCGCCACTGCTACCGACTTTGCTGCCGAAATCACCCTTCGGAAACAACTTCTGGCGCGACGAACCCGATCCGCGGGGCGGCAGGCCGCCGGGTTGAGCAGGGACCAACCGTCCTGGCATTCCTATAGGCCTACCACGACATGTTCTTCGAACCCCAAGAAAATCCAACAACAAAACATTGTTCTTAAAACATAAAGCAGATGCGTTCAACATAAGACAGCCCCAGCCAGAACTGTTCTAATAACATTCCGTGCAAACCACAAACGGTTATGATGACATTATTTGGTGGGCCTATAGGCGGGCAGGGACGCTTCGCCACTGCTTGAAGACCGATGTATCGGCGATGCACCGGCGACATCAGCGATGCACCGGCGACGTCTGCGTGCAGAAACTTGAGCTCCACATCCAGCCGCATCGGCGATGCACCTGCGACGCGGCGCGATCCTCTGACCCCACCTGCTCCGACACTCCGACCCAATCTACAACCCTCGTCAAAATTAACCTCAAAAAGGTCTGAAGTGGTTGAACTGCTTGTTGGAAGATCTGGGGCCGAGTATCGATGAGTGCGGGCTACTTGCATGCGCCGCCCCTCCAATGTCGGTCGACGTCAAACTTTCGAGTCAACTTCGGTCAGACTATCTCTGCCCTCGCCCCGACATTGACGGGGCGGCGTGTCGACATTGAGGGGCGCGCCGAAATCGAAATGACGTGCCAGCAACTTTTGAGGTTAATTCTGAGAAAGGGTAGCAGGATTATGTCGGGCGTGTCCCCCTGCAGGAGGGAGGATTTCCGACGAAATATATATATATATATATATATATATATATATATATTAAAAAACTTTGAATACCCCAAGAAGGTAAACAAAAATACCCTCAAAATGGTCCCCGAATGAGGTTTGGACTATTTTTGGACTATCTTTGGGGTATCCACGGGGGGCCAGGCCGCCCTGCTCATCCTTCTCCTCCTCTTCCTCCACCCACCTCTCCTCCTCCTCCTCCTCCTCCTCCTTCTCCTCCGCCTCCTTCTCCTTCTCCTCCACCTCCTCCTCCTTGTTCTCCTGTTGTTCGTTATCCTCTGGCTCCTCCTCTCCCTCCTCCTCTTCCTCCTCCTCCTCCTCCTCCTCCTCCTCGTCCTCCTCCTCCTCGAGGGCGCCGTGAGAAACGGCGGCGCCGGCGCCTGCCACCGGCGCCGCAGCCGCTGCGGCGGGCGCGGACGGCAGCCGTGGTGCCTGCGGAGGCGGGGCGTGGCCGCCCGTCCGCGCGCCGGCGCAAGGCGGGGGCGGGGGGGGGAAGGAGCCGCCGAGGGAGAGGGCAGTCCTCGATGCTCGAGGCTCCTCCTCTCCTCCTCCTGCTCCTCCCTCGCCTGCTCCCCTTCCTCCTCCTCCTGCACCCCCTCTCGCCCTCACCTGAAGGATGCATTCTTCAGCAGCCCGTGTGCTCGACATGGCCGCCTGGGCCCACCTTCCCGGCCCGCCCGTCGGGGTCTGCCCGCCTGATCTGCCCGTCTGGTTGTGCCAGGTGTTTCTGCTCCTGGCCCCTCTCCTGCTATTCTCTCTCGAGTTCCATCCTCCTCCCTCCCCCTTGTCCTTTCCTTCCATCCGTCCTCTCTTCCCCTGTGCCTCAGGGGCTTCAGGAAATGCACATTACAGGTAAGAAAAATATACACCTACGGGGCTACGGTCGAAGACGGAGAGCAGATAAGAACGAGAAGTCTGAAAATGATGGTTGTTGTTGCTGCTGCTGTTGTTGTTGAACTCTGATTTCTAAAAAATCGTTGATCCCCCCTCCAGTAACCACTGTCCCCTCGGGGCCCCACTGGGCTCGGGGGAGCCGGTGCGGCCGAGATGGCGTGGCCCGGCGGGGACCGGGATCGGTTCGACGACGCTGAAGCAGAAGTCCGCGGCTCAGGCCAGGGCGGACGTGTCTCCCCCCTGCAGGCGGATGCTGGGCGGAAAAGACAGGTCAAACACGAGCTCAAGCATGACGGAGAAGTCCTCCTCGGACTGGAATTTGGTTTTCACCGTCGGAAGCTCTTCCTCCTGCACAGGGACGTGCCCGATTCGAGCGGCTCAGGCATCCCGCCCCTCAGGGCTCCACCCTTTGGAGCCGCCGACTCGGAGGGGAGGGGAGGAGGAGGAGTTGGAGGAGGAGGAGGAGGAGGAGGAGGAGGAGGAGGAGGAGGATTAAGAGGGGGAGGGGGCGCCCCCACTCCCCCCCGCGTCGCGGCCCGGCCGTCTGCCCGCGAGCGCCCCCCCCCTCCTCCTGCGCCTGCGCGCGCGAGCGGCCCTCCTCGCGGCCGGGGCTCCCCGGACCGCGACCGCCTCCCCGCGGGGGCGCGGGGGGCGCGGCGGCGTGCGCCTCTCGGGCCGGGCGAAAAGGGGGGACTAGCAAAGGGGGGTCCCCTTTGCTGTCTCCCCCTTATAAGGGGGGGATAGCTTAAGGGGGGAAAGCGAGCTGAGTCTCACCCCCCCCCCCTTAGGGGGGGGGGGAGAATCAGCTCACGTATAGCTGATTTTCCCGGCGCCTCCCGGCGCCCGGAGGCGCCTATGTATATCGAGGAATGGGCCAGGCGGCGGGGCCGAAACCGGCTGCATGCAAATTTCATACCCCCCCCTTTCCCTATCCCCCCCTTTCGTCCGGCCCGAGCCTCCACCGGAGGCCTCCTGCAGTCAGCCCGGACAGTGAGGATGCGCGAGAAGGATGCAGGGGCCTTGGACGCCCATTTCGAAGCGTCTCGAGCGGGGCGCGGCCAACGAAAGCGTCCAAGGATGGACCCAGGAGGCAAGGATGTAAGGGTACCCTTGGGAGGGATGCCTATCCTTACTATGCGGGTCGACTATAGATGGGGTCCGAGCAGGTGGGGTCGGAGGAACTCGCCGCGTAGCCGATACATCCACGATGCATCGCCGATGCATCGGGGGCGATCGGCGATGCACTGGCGACCTCGGCGATGCATCGGCGACGTCGACGTGGATAACATCGGGCTCCACATCGAGCCGCATCACCGATGCATCGCCGACGCATCGGCGATGCGGCGCGATCCTCTGACCCCATCTGCCCGGACCCCATCCAGGAGGCCTGGATCTGCGCATCCGCTGGAAAAATCGCCCCCGCAGCTGCCCGTGGGGTCGCGGCCCCAGGGGCCTGGCCCGCGAGGCGGGTCGGGTGTGGACGCGCTCTCCGCCGCGATGCTCTCTCCGCCGGCGCCTCTCGCGCGGCCCAGGCACCAAGTCTGGGGGGGGGAGGGCGCAGATCAAACTGCGCTTAGGTCGGGCATGTCCTCCGACAGGCGGATTTTGGAAGAACAGTTGAAACATCCCAGAAATACAGATCGTCCCGCTACGATGTTCAATATGATGATGATGCTGATGATGATGCTGATGATGCTGCGGAAGATGCTGCTGATGCTGCTGGTGATGGTGAAGATGAAGATGAAGAGAATGAAGATGAAGAAGAATATGAAGGTGCATCTGAATATGAAGATGAAGACGAAGAAAACGAATATGAAGATGAACATGATTATGATTATGATGATGATCATGATTATAATTATGATACTGATGATGATGATGATGATGATGATGATTCTGATGATTCTGATGATGATGATGATTATGATGATGACAATGATGATGAGGATGATGAGTATTACTCCTGTAGAGGGACATGCCCAATTTCAGGCTGCGTGCGCCTGCGCACGGTGCGGCCTCGCTCGCCCTCCCCCCTGTTGCCCGTCCCCGGCTGCCCCTGCCACCGGCAAGGGCGAGGCGGGAGCGGAACGGGGGGGCGAGGATGAAGGGGCCCACAAACACACCAATAAATACACACAAATAAAACTATTCCTCATATTTGCGATACTTCCTGAGTTTTTGTCTTCCCCACCACTTCCCAGATTTTCCTGGGCATCGACGATTAATTGTGTCTGTGTGTTTCTTCCCCTCCTGAGAGGAGAGGGGCGAGCAGGAGTGGAGGCCAGAGGGGAGAGGAGGGGAAAATGGACCCCGCAAGTCAAGCGACCCTAAAATTGAGCGTGGACCGACCGTCCCAGCATTGCTGTAGTCCTACCACGACATGTTCGTAGAACCCAACAATGTTCTGAGAACAAAAACAATGGTCTTAGAACATAAGCCTGATGTGTTCAAACAAGACAGACTCCGCCAGAAATGTTCTAAGAACATTTCGTTGGAACCTCGAAATGTTCTTAGAACATTGTTTGGTAGGACTATAGGCGAGCCAGGACGCTTTGCCACTGCTTGGAAAAAAAATCCTCGAAATTCACGCTGCCGTTGGCTTCCCAGAGATTTCCGGAATCGATCGGCCTTCCAGAGTTTCTGCCCCCGTTTTCCACAGCGGATTCGTGACAGGTGTGGCGCATAGTTGCGGCAGCATGGCAAGTATCAACTTAGTTTTTGTTTTGACGTATCAACTTAGATATGCCTTGAGTGGGGCTGGGGGGGTCAGGTCGGCAGAACACCCCAAACGGACGTACCTGTTCGGTCAGGCTGAACTGGATGCACCACACCCAGCGTCAAGCAAAAACTTTGGACACAAGTGAGTGGTTGGACTTTGCGCATCTTTGCCGGCTTGACCGGCGAGGCGTTTGAACGGCGCTCTCTGACCCTCAGCCCTACTCAAGGTGTGTCGACGCTCTCTGACCTTCTTGCAACATGTGTCCGTCCCAAACTGCCCCTCGCAGGTGACGTGAACGACGGGAGAAACTGACGGGGCAAAAGCAAGAAGCGCCGCTCTTGTCCACTCCGCTCGCAAGTTGATGACGCAACATTGTGAAGGGAGAGAAAGAAGACAATGAGGCGGGCGAGAAGAACAGGGTGGAGGACAAGGGGAAATCGAGACAGACCAGCGGGACGACGATGAAAACAAGCACAAGGATGAGGAGGGCGACGATGGAGACAAGCATCAGGACGAGGATAATTAATACGAGGAGAACGAGCGAAGAAAGAGGACGACAAACTCGACGAGGAGGAGGTAGGACGGTAGCGCAGAAGACGAGGACAGCGTGGATAAGAAGTGAGAGAGCGGGGAGGACGGGAACACAGGGCTCTCGAGCAAGGGGCGTACGATGAGGAGGACGAGAGGGACAGGACGGGAGAGGACGACTCGGATGCAGACGAAGTGAAGAGCAGCGTGGAGGGTAATGACGAGGACAATGAGGCCGACGAGAAGAAGGAATATGAATACGTAATATGGGCGGGACGAGGAGCACGACGATGAGGACGCAGAAGAAGCGAGGGCCCTTGGCACTTGTCGGGGCTGTCATGGGAGCGACCACGAGCGTCTGAGGCTGCCTTCGGGCCTCCATGGGGCCGCTCGGAAGCCTCCTGGGCGCTCGCTGAAGCCTCCAATGGGCCTCGTCGGAGCACTCGTCGGCTCTCTTGGGGGGGCCTTTTGGGCTGTGCTGAAGCCCTCCAGGAGCGACTCCAGGACGATGTAAGTTCGGAGCCCTCTCCGAAGACGATGCTCGGTGGATATCTCAAACGGAGCTGCCAGTGCTGGGGAACATGACCAGGCAAGAACGGGAGGCGCAGCTCTTGTCCACTGGAGTAGGCAGACGGAAAAGAAAAGACGGGAGAGGATGACGGCAAGGATGCCGAGGAGGAGAGCGTGGAGGATGCGAGGGCAGCGATGGGGGAATACGAAGAATAAGGCAAGCACAAGGACGAGAATGACGAAGACACTGAGAACGAGCACGGACAGGAAAGGACGACTCTATCGACCACGAGGGGTAGGAGGACGGCAGCACGGAAGTTAAGGAGGACAGCATGGATAAGGAGAGGGAGAGTGGAGAAGAGCGTAGACGACGAGAAGGACGAGGCCCTCGAGGAGTACGACGAGGAGAACGAGTAGGACAAGGCGGGAGAGTACGACGACGACGGGGAGGACAATTAGGAGAAGTACGAAGTGAAGAACAGCGTGGAGGATTATGATGAGGACAGTGAGGATGACAAGGAGGAGGACGACGACGAAGAGAAGATGGGCGAAGAACACGAGAAGACAAACGTTGACGAAACGAGGGCCATTGGTACGCGTCGAAGCTAGGATAACAGGGCCTACCAATATCGTCTGAAGCTGTCTTCAAGCCTGTCGGGCCACTTAGAAGCCTCCTTTGCGCTTCTTGGGACTCTATCAGGGACATGTTGGAGACGGCTGGGCCTTTTGGGGCCGTCCTTGGCAATCTTGTGGCATCCTGGAGCGCTCCCGGGAACCATCT